GGACTAAAGCAGCATGCCCAGGACCTGCATGGATATGCACCCGGTCTTCTGTATATATGTCTTCCAGTTCAGTGTTTTTATGGGGTTCCTGGGTGTACAGCTTTATGGGATTCCTGAGTGGGTCTCTGATTCCTGTCTCTTCTCAGGCTCTTTTCCTTCTGTTGGCTTGTCTTGTCCAACCTTGATGTGGTGGTTTTTGTTTTATCTTATATTTTATTTTGTTAGATTTTATCATTATCTCTTAGATGCCTGTTCTTTTCTGATGAGACAGAAAGGGACTGGATCCAAATGGAAGGGGAGGTGGGGAAGAACTGGAAGGAGTAGAAGGAGGGAAAACTGTAATCAGGATATATTATGTGAGAAAAGAATCTATTCTCAATAAAAGGGAAAAAAAGAAATTCATATGACATGTCTTTTCCAATCACAATGTCATAAAACTAGAAATGAATAGCCGAATGGAAACTGGAAAATTCACAGGTCAATGGAAGTTAAGCAACCAATGTTCTAAGGGGTGAATTACTAGGACAATTAAAGTATCTTATAATAAATGGAAACGTAAATATCAGATGTCAAATTTATTAAGACAGGTACTTAGAGGGATGGCTTAGTGGTTAAAAGTACAAGATTGTCTTGCAGAAGACCAAGGTTCAATACCCAGCACCCACATAGCAGCTCACAACCATCTGTAACTCCAGTTCCAAGGGATCTGATGCCCTCCCTCTTCTGCCCACCCCCCCATGGGCACCAGGCAAGCATGTGGTTCACAGGCATATGTTCAGGCAGAACACCCATATACATAGCATTTTTTAAAACCCAACTTATTAATATACTATAAGCAGTCTTAACAGGGAAATGTTAGTTCTAAACACACTAAATGAAATAAAATCTTAAATAAATCACATTATAAAGTAATAGAAACAAGAACTAGATCAATAGTAGATGAAAGGACACAATAAAGATGTGAGCAGAGATATGTGAATAGTAGAAAATGGAAAAGCAATAGAGAGAAGTCAATGAAACCAGTAAGTGGTTCTTGGAAAACAGCAATTAAAAACCCAAACAAGCAATTAAAAAAAAATGAGCAAGAGATTTTTTTGTTGTATTTTTGGGTTTTTTTGTTTGTTTGTTTGTTTTTTTCTGAGACAGGGTTTCTCTGTGTAGTTTTGGAGCCTGTCCTGGAACTCACTTAGTAGCCCAGGCTGCCTCGAACTCCAGAGATCCACCTGCCTCTGACTCCCGAGTGCTGGGATAAAAGGCGAGCGCCACCGCCACCAACACCAGCACAAGAGATTTTAATACATATTCACCAGTGAAAATACACAAAGACCCAATAAATTATGAAAAGATGTTTAACATCCGTTAATCCTTAGGAGATATGAAAATCAAAACTGTAAGACAGTACCTCACATGCATAGAAAGACCATTGCTGAGGGCCAGAAATTCCCTGTGAAGGGGAGGATGGGCAGAAATTGGAATCCTTGGGGGAGATGCCTCAGTAGCTCAAGCATTTGCCATGCAAGCATCAGGACCTGAATTTAGATCCTTAGATACCACATTAAAGCTGGGCATGGTGGCACACACCTGCAATCCCAGCACTCCTGGGGCAAGACGGGAGACAAAGACAGGAGAACTCTGGAAACTCGCAGGTCAGCTAGCCTGGCACACGCAGCAGCGAAAAAGAGAGACGCTGTCTCAAACAAGGTGGAAGGTTAGGATCAACACCTAACATTGTCCTCTGACTTCCACATGTACGCCATGGCTCCACAGTCTGCGTGCGCGCGCGCGCTCGCGTGTGTGTGTGTGTGTGTGTGTGTGTGTGTGTGTGTGTGTGTGTGAGTCAGAGACAGAGACAGAGACAGAGAGAGACAGAGACAGAGACAAAGACAGAGATGTGTGGTGTGTGAATGTGTAATATGGAAAGGGGATTTAAAAAAGAAACTGGAACTCTTGGGCAACGTTAACCAGGATGTGAAAAGCTACCCACATGTTGTGAGAATAGCAAGCCATCTAAAAAAAAATGTAATTACCAAAATATCTAACAATTACACTTTCAAACATATGCCCCAAAGAATTGGACACATAGAAAAATATTCCCCTGCCAAGGTGTTTAGTAGCGTCACTCAGACTAGAATAAAGGCAGAAACAATGTGAGTTGATGGTGGAAAGGAATACAGATCTTAACGATATGATCACGGAAACAAGACACCACCAGCTGACATGCCAAAGTGAAGGGACCAATGTCACAGGGCCGCATCCACTAGATGAAGAGCTACAGCAAGCAATGGGTGCCGAGGGAAGGAGAATCAGCCTTCTCTGGGGAGGAGCCCCCTGATAGGTTATCCATTCCTAAGTGATCAGCCCCAACACAAGGACATATGAGCAACACTAAATGAACTCAGTATGCTTAACTCAGAGGGTATGGGTTAGAGAGAAAACTGAGAAATGCAGGTGAGTTGGAGGGGCAAGAGGGAGGTGTGGACATGATGTAAGTACAGTACTTGCATGGGTATACAAATCTCAAAAGGAAATAAGACTTTAAATTAAAAAAAAAAGCCTGTAAAACATAACTGACAGCCAAATTTTTAAAAAGAAAATGTAGTACATAGTCACATTGAAATATTATCCAACCTTATGAAGGAAAAAATGTCTGACACAGAGTTGAATCAAAACTGTTGAGACTGAGCTAGCTCTGAAGGAAAAGGCTTTGTTGAACCACTACTGATGGTAGCCAGAAATGAACCAGGGCCCCGGGAGCATTTCTGTAACGTCCAGCAACTGAGCTACATAGCACCTGGAAAAAAAATGCCTTTCATGCCCATAAGGCAAGATCATTTTAATAGCAAATGTGTGGAGAAGGAACGCATAAGCTATTTATGTGGGAGTTATGTTGACTATAGATAGGAAGAACAGGATGACAAAAAAAAAAAGCATAGAAGTGTGGGAACAGGGTAGTTTTGTTGATTTGGCTTGGTTAAGATTGCAACAGGATGCAGGGGCACCTGTCAGTCAGCCATGTGGGAGGGTCTGAGTCATAGTTTTAGCACAGGTGGGAAAATGTGGACTGATCTGCTGCTGCGGCCTGTAGCTGTTAACTAATCAGCTCTCCTTCCCTTCATCCTCCAGCCTTTGTAACTAGATGTTGGACATTTAAGGTCTCTCTCTTAACAACAAACTACAATCAGATTAACTCTGAAGACACTGTGCTAAGAGAAGCCAGTCACAAAAAGAAAAGTACCACGTGAACGTGCTTCTGGGAGGGATTTAGCTTACTTATTCACACAGACAGAAAGGGCACTATGAGGAGATGGGGTAGACAGAACGGTGCATGATTAAATGAATCTACAATATTAGTTTTGGAAGGTGAAGAGAGTCTTGCTGGGCACACCTTTAATCTCAACAGCCAGGAGACCAAGGCAGGTGGATTGCAGTGCGTTTGAGGCCAGCCCGGTCTACATAAAGAATATAAAGAGTCCCTGGCCAATGAGGGGTGAAGCAACATAGTAAGACCCTGTCTTAAAAAAAGAAGAGTTCTCTAGAACATCTGCCCAAAGTGAAATATATTAATTACCACCAAAATGGTTCCGATGGCAAATATTATATATGTATGTATGTGTATATATATATGTATATATATATATTCACTGAAATGTTAAAAACCTGTTTCCTAAATATGCTAATAACTTCAAGATTTCTCAATAAGTCATTGTCTCTAAACTTGACCTTTATTAATATATGAAGTTTTCCCCTCAAGTAATGTTGTTTTTATTGGTGTAGAAACCTATGTAGGTGTTTTAACATTTCTGTGACTTGTTTTCTATTGAAAAATAAGCACCACAACTAGAGAAGTGACTCAGAAGTTAAGAACCATTGCTTTTGCAGAGGACCTGAGTTCAGTTCTCAGCACCCATATGGTGGTTTGATTCATAACTATGCATAATCCCAGCAACAGGGTATCCAATGTCCTCTTCTGGGTACCAAAGCATGTAGCATACATATATACATACCTTAAAGCAAACACTCATATACATAAAATACAATTTAAAAATCTAAAAACACCTAGAGCAGAATCTAAAAACACCTAGGAATTTTAACAGTATATACAGCAACACACATGAAATTCTTTAGACCATGGCTTGGCACACAGTGAGCTCTCTGTAATGTTGTCCATCATTATCAGTACTCAGCTCTGACTCAGTGTCCTTATATTTCAGGACATTGCGTGGCCGGCAGGCTTAATAAATGTTTAGAATTATGATCATCACAAAACTAAAGTTGTTTACATTTTTTTCCTCTGAGTGAAAACAAACCCAAAGTAGTCTAGACAGGCCAGATTCTGAGCTGTGTCTGCCCTGTTTTTGGCTTTGATTATAACTTCGTGGCTAAGGCACAGCAAACTGGGATATGGTACAGAAGGCTGTCATGCTGTCTCAGTGGGAACATCAGGAAGATCTGGTCTTGAACAGGATGCAACAACTTGGGATGGCCCAAGTATGGAGAGGGACGAGCTTCTCCTTGGAGGTAGAAGTGGCAATGACGCCTTGTGGGAAATCCTTCAGCTTCCCTCCCCACACCATGCCAGCACTGTGCACAGGGAGAGATTTAGAGACATTTAGAGACAACATTGAAGGATGTTGGGAATAAAAGGCATTCTTCATGTTCTTCAGTTGTTCTTAGGGGTGCAATAAACCTGGAGCCACTCAAAAAGATCTCCCAGTGAATGCAGACACATCGCCCTGGTGTGCTTTCTACCGCTGTGATAAACACCAGGACCAAAAGCAACTTGGGAAGGAAAGGGTTTATTTCGGCTTACACTTTACAGTCCATCATGAAGGAAAGTCAGGACAGGAACTCAAACAAGGCAGGAACCTGGAGGCAGGAGCTGAAACAGAGGCCGTGGAGGGTGATGCTTACTGGCTTCCTCCTCATGACTTGCTCAGTCTGCTTTTTTTATGCCACCCAGGACCACCTGCCCAGGGGTGGCACCACCCACGGTGGGCTGGGTCCTTCCACAACAACTATGAATCAAGAAAATGCTCCACAGACTTGCCTACAGGCCAGTCTGATGGAGGCAGTTTCTCAATTGAGGCTCAAGTTAACCAACAAACAAAAAACACAGCAAACATTAAATTTTGTTAATAGCCATGCTCCCAACACTGCTAAGGACTGTCATCTTCTCTAGGCTGTACAGAAATGCAGGTGTCATGACAGTTCAGGATAGCGGTCCCACTGGAGATCACCTCAAACAGCAAGTCAGAAACCACACAGCAACAGACAGAGCTGTATCCACCAGAAGAAATATGACAGAAAGTCTCGCTGAAGAGATCAACCCTTGTAACACATGGGCTGTTTTTTTTTGTTTTTGTTTTTTTTTTCATTTATAAAATGTGATATCACCAAGTATCCTGCAGCAGGTGCCCAGATGCATGCAGCCCAGGTGCATGCAGCGGGTGCCCAGGTGCATGCAGCCCAGGTGCATGTGCACAGGTGTAGATGCTAGCCCTGAAGAAGCTGAAACACACAGGGGAGAAGTCAGCATACTTCACCAGGATGCTAAGACAGGACTATACTCTGAACATGAGTCGTTCCCTGACTGCATTCAGATAGGCCATTAATAGTCTTTTCAGGTAATCCAACGCCTGATCCCAAACTGAATTGAAAATGAATCCTAGGGGGAAAAAATGCACTGATTTGTTTCCAAACAAGAATATCATTTATTTTTGCTGATTTTAAAGGCATGGTAAATTTGTGTGAAATCATTCTAGGAAAAGAATGAAGAGTCATGTGAATAAATGATAAGCTTGTTAAGTAGCCAAATGTGTTAGGTGACAGGGCTGCCTGATTACATTTCTGACATGTCATCATCTGTTTCAGATTGAACCTGCTCTGGTTCTTTTTGCTGGTTTTTATGAAACAAATTTTTAACCAGCTGCTTAAAAACCACAAAGATCACTGAGATGACGAATAAAAAAACACGTATCAACATAATATACTTAACTCGAAATGATGGGAACATTTCCTCTGCCATGGGTCCAGGGGGTCCACTGTCAATGCTCCCACCAAATCCTACATCTTCACAGAACGGGGGTTCCCAGCCATACATGCAGTGGCAGTTCCTTCTGTTGTTGCAGACACCTCGGCTATTGCACTTGTTAGGAAAACAGTCAAACTTCAAGTTGACAACATCAACACAAGTTCTGTTAATACACACCTGGTCATGACCACAGGAGGTGCCATCATTAACATCACCTACATCAGGTATCCCATGGGGTATCATGGCTCCATGATAGCCTGTGCCCCAGCATAGGAGATTATCTGTCTTCAGATAGGTGGACAGTATAGTATAGTGATCTGGCAAATTGGAGATGGCTTTAACATTCATACACTGTAGCCTGCCACAGATTGCGTTGTCCCTATTACACCTTTGATATCGAGTAGCATTTAAGATGCCACAGTTACCATACTGATCGCCTATCATATTAACTGCATCATAACATTGGTGAGGAGCCTCCTTGGCAGTGGTTCCAAAAATGCCCTGGCATTGCATGTACCTGGATCTGCATCCCTTATTGAAACAAAGTCCTTCGTGTTTGCAGGGAGTTCCATCCTGCTTGTAAACGTCCTCTGGACAGACGGCCGAGAACCCGTCGCAGTACTCAGGAAGGTCACATTCGTTCTCTTCCCCCCTGCACACATGGCCTGCTGGAAGAAAGTCACACTTATGACAACAGAGCCCCGTGGAGCAGTTGACACCTTCTTTCCATTTACAGTCTGGCCTGCAGCACAGGTCTTCCTTGCAGTCTTCTGTGGAACCACAGTCACATTCCTCCTGGTCTTCAACAATTTTGTTTCCACATCTCTCAACCACATAGCCTCGTCCTGGGATGTCAGATAGACAATGCGACATTTTATAACCTACATGTTTAAAATACTGATGATAACTACAGTTACTAAACCCTGTACGTCCTGTACCCATGACGCAGCTCTTCCTACCTCTGCATTGACAGTACTCCTCGTCATGTCTCATTCCCACACAGTGGCCCACTTCATGAGCAGTCCAGGTAGCAGGTCCTAGGATATTTACATCAAGTAAGCTGCTTGCTGATCCAGCATGGTACTCTTCACATGCTCTTCCCCAGGACCATGCAACAGCATCTGAATAATGTATTCCAAGATACAGATGTGCCCAGTCTGAGGGAAGCCGGAAATGCAACGCTATTCTTTTGTACAGTACGAACTGACCTAACACTTCAGCCAGAGTGGGAAAGTGAGTAAAAATTTTGTCATTATTCGACCAAACTTCAAGTGCTTTTAGCTGGATCTTCATCCCGACGTCCTGAAAGTAGGTATCCACAATTGCAGCTAGAAGAATAGCATCATCAACGACTCTAGAAAAATTCTTTTGTAAAAACACAAATCTCTCCCAATTAAAGACCATGACCAGTTCCAAGATCTTTTGGTGATGGTAGGATTGATGAAAGCTTTCTATTCTAGCCATTTCCTCTTGCTGGGCGGTTTCCTCCTTGGTTTCTTCATCAACCACACCACAGCTCTGATTGCTAAATTCTTCCTTATTTAGGAGATACACAACGTGTTCAAAACTGGAAGATGCCCTGAGGGGCTCGATTTGGTAATAACTGGAGTCTATGTTCAAGATGCCTCGCAGACCCCCCATGCATGTATTCAGAGTAGCTCCAGATTCCTGAGAACCTTCCACGGAGCCCACGTAATTGCACTCGTTTGGTACATGTGGGTAATCCTCTACCAAACTGCCCTCTTGAGTGAAGGAGAAAACAGGCAAATGTCTGGGCAACAGTAACTTCTTGGGCCACAGGTGAATGACATGCTTCTTGCCTTGTATCTGTAAGAGGTACCACAAAGAACTGTCCATACCCTGCTCCCCTTTCCTAAACCTTAGCTCTTTGGGAACGGTGATTTCATACGAGTCAAACCCCCAGTCGGGGTCAAATAGTATGTCATAGCCCACAACCTCAAGAAAGAGCATCGCCAGAAGCAGCCAGCGGTGTTGGGGGAGGGAGGCCCACACTGACCTCATGATCTGTTCTGTTTCCCTGCTTGGTTTTCCTGGACTCTGGAGCTGGGGGAGTGACGCCAGCCCTGGCGAGCGCCTCAGACTTCCCTGAGACAGGCTCCACTAGAAGTGCAGAAGCCCCGAGCGCATAGCTCCCCTGGCAGGTTACCCATGGGAAGCCAGCCCTCTCAGGGCCTGGTTGGTCCGATTTCCCCAGGCGCACCCTCACCCAACGCTCCAGATCGGTTTCCAGTCCTCCCACCCCGCCCCCAGCGGTGAATTCAGCTCGAGCTTAAGAATGGAGGGGAAGGTGCGCGCGCGCGCGCACTGTGGAGAAAAGAGTGTGTCCCAAGCCTGTCCTGGGCATGTGGGATGGAGAGGGGTGGGTGTAGAGTCAGAAATGGAGACTAGGGAAGTAAAAGCGGAAGACAACTTTCTATGTAGTCTGTCCACAGGAGATCAGAAGAAATCGATGTTTTATCGCGCATCCCTCGCCTCACTGGTGAGTGCTCCCCATTTTCTGCTGGGTCTCTCCGAGAAGCTGAAGGCGGCACACTGCAGTCCCAGAAGAGCAGCCCAGATTCGTCATCCCCCACCTTCTGCACCTTCTGCACCAGCTGCTGGCTTTTCAGAGAGGCTCTGCACCCAAACCAGAAAGTTTCTGAGCACATATCTCCTCTTTTCCTGAATGTCAAGAATTCATATGATGGTGTCACCCGTATACAATAAGCACTTGCTGGGATGGGGAGTGGGTGGGTGGTGGAGTTCAGGAATATTCTGAGAAAGGTAAATGGTGGGTAATGACTGTAGTATGAATCATAGGTGAGAGGTAATGGAAGGACAGTTTAGGAAAAAAAAATGTCCCCAGCTCAGAGGACAGAGGGGCTTACCATCCAGGGACACCGCCAGAGTCATGATGTGAGGACTGGAGACAAGCATTTTCAGTTTTAATCTTCATTCAGTCAGGCTGCTTCTGACAAGGGAAAACCTATGCCAATCCAGTGTGAAGTGGGGGAGCGCAGTTAGGAAGCTCTTGACAGTCCAGACATGTTGTCTGTGGGCAGCAGTCATGGCCCTGGGCTGAGCCAGCACTTACAAGGAGATGCCCGCACCAGGGCACATCCCCCTAACTAAAAGCAGTGAGAGTTCAAAAGTGTGGAGGCTTGCCAGCCCCTCCTCCCTCCCTCCATGCTGGAATGTTAACCGGCTTGGTCTTGGCTGGGGCAACCACAGCAGCTGGGCGCTCTGAAGTCTGTGGCTGGGTCATGACTACAGAATGCTGGGTCACTTTGGGTCTCCTCCACCTCTGGTTCTTACAGTCCCCACCCTCTCTTCCTGGGATGGCCCTTGAGCCTTGTAGGGTGTAGGGGCATGACAGATGCCTCTCCGTGGCTGAGCACTCCACATACTCAGCCTCTGCACTTTGACCAGTAGTGAGGGCTTTTTTTTTTTTTTTTTTTTTTTTTTTTTTTTTTTTTGTCTGTTTTTGGTGCCTGTCCTGGATCTCGCCCAGTACATGGGCATCTTTGGGTAACATAACCTGGG